GAACGCAGCGAAGGCAGTCGTAACTGGCTAAAACAGACATTATGTGTTGTTCACATTTTATTTGTCGTACTGAAATGCACCGCATTTTGCCCCCCATTTTCAGCCGCGGAGCGCCACTTCACGCAAAGGGCGCTGCCTGTGTGCGCGTTAGTTAGCATTTTGTAGGCCGCGCCGCAGCACGCACGCTATGTACGGTTACTGAAGCTGTTTATAGAAATTGTGGGCCCTGGTGGCCCATATTGAGTCTTGAATAGCCCTTTCAGTATCATAGTTAAAAGCAAAATGTTTTGAGCTTCGTAGTAATTTGATAGTAGTTTTACTTACAAGATTGTTTTGCATAATACTATTTTACTTTTCTTTAAATATTTGCTTGTATTCTTTTGTAGTAGCATTACACATGATTGTATTAAAAAAAAATACGCAACTTTACTACTAAGACTAATTACTTAAGACTTTTAAAGTGTATAGTGGCCTCCCACAATACACCCCACTCCACCGCCGCAAAAAAATCATCTACCTTTGTATTTGCGCGCGTAGTATGCGACCTTTAGAAAAATGTGCATTTTTTCCAACAGGATACGTAGCTTACCTTCAAGGCACTGTAAGCAGTGTTTGTGACTAAATTAGCGCGGAGCCACGTGATCGGAGGACCACCATGTTCATGATGGATTAGAGGAAACAGCACGAAGCACGATAGGCCACGGACAATGAAAGAGGACTAAATCAAAGAAGGCACCTAGCGATTCTAAAAGGTACGAGCCACGGAAGAGGGGCTACCATGAAAAATGGGGAGGAAAAGCGTATGACGGGAGCGTACGGGCCACGGAAGAGAGCTAGAATATTGACACCCCACAGTAGAGCACGTAGCTGTGACAACGTACGGAAAATGATTATTACGTTACACTACGGTGGAGCACGGAGCACGGTCGACGTACCAAACATGAAGCCGCGGAAGACCATAAACGGGAGATTAATGAACATTGCAATACGATACCAGGGTAGAACCGGAGCTCATTGAGTCACGGAGAGCGATACTACGGTAGCTCACGATGGAATGGACGCCAGATCAACTGCGACACCGCAAGATAACACGATAGTATGGACGGTGACCCGACGATTAAAACATGGGAGAACGCGCAGCCACGGGAACTATAGACGGGAAATCACTCAGCCACAGAGCACGATACCAGTGAAGAACTGAGCTCGCCGAGCCACGAAGGACCACATTACAATAGAATATGATAGCACGGACGGCACGTCAGCCACGAAACCACGGGGGAACGCTTCAGGAGAGCACGAGGCTACATCGCGCAGCGCGATTTCATGACCTGATGCCGTGGTCGACAGATTTACACTATGCGTTCGCGATAGCATTGTTAGCAGAGCAACACCGCGATTACACGATAGCGCGATAACGCGGTCGATGAATCCACACCAGGAGCGCACGATTCATGGGCGACAGATCAACACAGCTACAGAAAAGCACCCATCGGCGAGGGTACCGGTGATGGGACGCCATGGACCATGAATAATTATGAACCACAAACCTGTGGAGCTCGCGTAAACCCTTGAGAGCACGAAATAGCTAGCAGCTACGAAAGGGGTGGTGGTTGTGTGTGGGGGGGGTACAAGACAACATGAAACAAAAGCGATAATGTTTAACCACTAAGCGGTGTGAGCTACGGTTGAGCTTGAAACCACGAAACCAGGAAGGACACAGAAGAGCACGGGCCACGAAAGAACACGACATCCAATCTGTAGTACGGAGCATCGGTAGCCTACAAAACCACGGTATCTTATACCGCCACATGAGACTTCGGAATGGTAGGGGCTTTAAGTCACGAAACTACGTCGTATTGAGGTGGATGAAGCCTTGAGGTACAAGATCCTAAGCGAAGTCACGCTGCACCACAACGTATTTAAAATTTCTGACATCTCACATCCAACAAATCATGCAACCTCCGCCGCAAAGCAGCGGAGAACGGATTCAAGGTGCTGATTGAATACCCCAAACTTGAGGAGGAAGACGGAGTTTACATTAAACCCTTAGTGTACAGACATATCTTTGAGCGTATGTAGGAATAATTGCTTCACCGTTTTCCACGTTGTTTAGCTAACAAACGAAGAAAACCTCGACTTGCCGGAGCGAAGCGGAGGCCAGCGGCCTTCATGGGTGATAATATGGCCTAACTCTAAATACAATACGGTTTGCAGCAACATTTCTCCTTTTATTTTTTTCGTGATGAATAAACAAACCGCCGGACCGAAGCGGAGGCGAGCGGCCTACACAGCTGGGAGCCACCACAGACCCACCGCCGCGAAGGGGCGGCGCTCGGCTATTAATAGTCCTAAACTATCAATGCTAGCACGGTGTCCGTCCGTCCGTCACACGAAACGCTCAGATTTTTGAGCCTTCCCATTGGCTGCCGAGCGGAGCGAAGGTGGCTTCGATTGGTTAAAACGGAATTATGGAGCTTACACCAGTAAATTCATGTGGTTCACAGAGCACATATGGAGATTTGCACAAGACTATCCATTATCCGAAGGCGGCATCACTTTAATATTACGAAGTATTAATATTTAAAATTCTAAAATTGCATGTTGCTTTTAATATTTGAGTGCTAAACATACAGAGCTTCTTATTCTCAAATGAAGTAGCCCCTACAGACGCTTCCTAAGCTGCAAGGTGCTTAGCGTACACGTAGGAATGCGTGTTTTCGAGGTTATACTAAAACACGTAATACTCTGCACTTAATAGTTTCTGCAAGTTACAATGACTATAATAACTACAGCTGTTTTGTCGTAGAAAGATTAATAATTTATCTGAGAGTGAGGTAACTGACTGAGCTGCCAAATCGAGGTACATGTACAACAGAAGCTGGCCGTAAGAACAAAACGCTGCAAATAAACATTGTCACTTGATCCATAAATATAGATAGATAGTTTTGGATTGAATAAAATGAACTCATATGTGTTACTGCTGTAAGCCATTGTTTTCTAAGAGTTGTTAAGACAGCAAAATCCGATACTACTTAAGTGGCGGACGTGTCGTCGACAAAGGCGTACGATACGATTTTAAATGGAGCGGCAAGACAGCAACAAAACACGAGAGGTGTGAATTATAGTTGGTAAAGTAGACCCCATAAAGAAACGTTACTTGGAGCCTAAATGACGTCCAATAAATCGTTAAATTATCAAATAGAAAACACTACCGTCAACAGCAACAGCACAATATTCAAATGCTTCAATCATAACTGGCACAGATTCGAGTGTTAATTCTGAATTAGCACAAAATGAACGCTACATACATTAAAAATAGTACAATTTGAATATAGTTTAGCTTTCATTGAGTTTGATATGAGAAGTGGACACTCTTTAGTTACTTACAAGCTGAAATAGGCAGCACAAGCAGGTAAGTAGTGCAAGGTGGACAGGCCATTACTATCTTTTGTGCTGATATGAGCTAGGTTTCATAGCGGCTCACAGAAATGGCCCGAGATATCGAGCACGACGCTAAACGAAACATATTGTGAAGCGTATGTATAGATGTTATTTGAAGTGCTGGTGGTCTTGGGTGAAAGATGAAGATACAGTGATAGCCAGCAATAAAAAAGAGATTGCAATAAGAATCTTGATACAAGATCATTAGAATAATTATTTCTTAAACCAGGTAAGCATCATGCTGACCCAAAGTAATGAAATTACAAATTATCGATTTAGGTACACATGGGTTTATCGTTTTTTTAGTTACCTGTATCCCGCCGAAGCGTAGCGGAGGCGGGAGGGCCAAAGCAAGTAGAGCTAGACCTAAATTACCGCCGCGTAGCGGCGGCGCTCGGCTAGTAGTTATTAATTACACTACACCTTTGCCAGTCCAAATCGGCGACAGTGTAAAGCAAAGCGGTGTGAAGTAACTTAAGTGACAAAGAAATTTTTAATTTTTATTTTCAAAAATTGACTTTAGAGCAATGGCGATTTAGTGCAGAGCTAACTGGTGGTCGGCATCAAAACCTCTTCTTCTGGCATCATGCCAACAGAACCAAAGCATGGCCTCGCGGCCCGGACACGCGTTCTCGACGCACACAAGGCTGGGCAGGACTGGGCCTTAGTAGCCGATTGCAACGGAATTCCAGCTACAACGGCTCGGACTATCGTCGAGCGAGGAACCCCGGACATCAAGAAGAGAGGCGGCGCGCGGGCGACATGCACTAAGTGCACGCCGGAGATGGAGGAGGCCCTCGTAGAATACCTGGAGGATAACTGCCAAGACACGCTCGTGCAGATGCAGGAGATTATAGCGTGCACATGTACTAACATTTGTGTCTATTTTACTGTGCGGCAGGGTGTTTTAGTGTATTAAAAGCACGCATTAAGGCTTATCTTGCCTTAAGTCATGACGTAATGTTTCTTGCTCCACACGGAGAGAAAACAGAGCGCCGGATGCAGCTGCTTGAAAACGCTGCAGAGCATAGCTTGCCATGTATGGATCTGCGCTTGGTTAACAAGATGGCGCGCCACTGTGCGTTGTCAGTGGCGGCAGCTATTCGTAGCGAACCTATGGAGTACGGCACGTAAAGTTTTGCACTACACTAAATCAACTTTGCATGACAGGCTTTTTCTAAAAAAATAAATTCAAAAATTAAAAAAAATTAATTACGGGACGTTCCACTTTGCTTTACACTGTCGCTGGCAAAGGTGTAGTCTGGTAGTGTAATTTATAGTAGTACATATTTGCTTTTATTGTACAGTACTGCACCCCGTTTTCGCGCCCTCGGACCTTTGATAAACTTCCGGATGTGATTTTCCTGATTTCAAAAGAAAAAAAGGTTGTCAGCTAAAATCTGATTTATTTGCAAGGTCCATCCCCACGAAAACGGGGTGCATTACTGTACATGAATGTCGCACTCAGCCAGCGTACCGGTACTGTGTTCACCTTTCCGTTTAGGTACGAAATCTGGAAAATATTCACTTCTTAGTACTGGTATTTCCTTATTACCTGAAAAGTAGTGCGTGTAGCACACGGTCCACGATCCCGATGGACGAGGAGATGAAGAGCGAGACGGTGGCGGAGGTGGCATCAGCCGGGGCTGCGACCGAGGAGAAACGCTTTGAGATTAAGAAGTGGAACGCCGTTGCCCTCTGGTCGTGGGGTGAGCTCGCAGCACCGCAATGCAGTCGAGATCTTTCACCAACCAATAGTTGTTTTATTGCTACACAGACATTGTTGTGGACAACTGCGCAATTTGTCGCAACCACATTATGGATCTGTGCATTGAATGCCAGGCTAATCAAGCGTCAGCCACCAGTGAGGAGTGTACGGTGGCCTGGGGTGTCTGCAGTACGTCGTTTGATCCGTCGACTGCGTTGATACGGCCATTTTTACTCATTACTTTTTATTGTGTGCGACAGACCACGCCTTCCACTTCCACTGCATTTCTCGGTGGCTTAAGACTCGCCAGGTATGCCCGCTGGACAACCGCGAGTGGGAATTCCAGAAGTACGGCAGATAAGAGGAGGCAAAGCTGCTTCGAGATGCGGCATGACACGTAATGGCCATCTGCTGCAGAAGCACATGTTGGTGTGGAGCTGACTACGCATTTGCTGTCTACACCAAAGCTATGAGAGAGAGAGAGAGTAGTGACCTTCCAACCAAGTGGATACACATGTAGCCACTAACTGAAATGTAACCACTGCGCACTCGTAGTATCGTTTGAAATTGTTCCACAGTTTAAAATTACCGTCTACTCAAGATATGGACGAGGATTCGCACATCGAGAGAATGCGAGCAAGCGGTAGGGATCTAAGGGAGTCACTCGTACCATTACGCAGTACTAACTCTTGACAATGAATCATCTGGAGAGTCGAGTGCGGACATAGATGAAAAAATCACAGCACTCGTGCAGCACATGACGGAGGGGCGGGAAATCATGCTTAATTCCCTTGCAACTTTAAGACGAGACCGACAAGAGATGGAGTCAGGGGAAGCAGCAGGAAGGACGGTAATTCTACGCATGAAAAAGACTGCCGCCAGTCTTCACAGGTTTATGCTGGATCAGGGCAATACGTCCGACGATCTCTCATGAGACGAAGATAGTGTCGACACCAGGGCTCTCGATTATGGCATTGTTATTTATCGGGAACCCTCCCTTAGCATATGGGAAGCTAGTGCCAATACATTGTGGTGCTTAGGGTTTTGCGAGTCAATTTTCAATGAAAATGCCGTGGCTTGCCATGAATAGCTTAATGATGAAGAAATCTTTTCATAAATTATGGTAGAGGGGCTTTTCTACAAATAAATTATTTATTGCACTAGTGATGTCGACGAAATAAAAATATTTAGGATTTCATAAGCAATTATTGACAAGACCATGCCATAATCGGGAGCCCTGGTCGACACGGAGAAACCGGATTGTCCGAGTGTGTTGAATACAGCGATGGATCGGTAACCGACGATGGCAGTGAGATAGAGGAAGACGAAAGGGCTACTTCAACTGGCGTGGTCGCCTATTTCCTGAACGCCGTGATGAGCCAACACGTTGGTCGTGGAATAATGACAGAGTTTACCGTATGGTTTGCTGCCTACGGTCTCTACGCCATAAGTCTCGGGCCAATAACAAAGATTGAGAGCGGCGTGCTGGTATTCACAGCAATCGGACGCTGGATACACCTTCATGGGAGAGATCCGCAGCAGTTCCGGGTGGCTATCTCTTGGAGTACGGCTTGGTCCTTTAAGATGCAGCTTCAAGAAATTGTACGCGGACTCCGAAAAAAACGCTTTCCAATGGGTGAAGTCAATCTACAGCTCAGAGGTATAGCTATAGGTCTACTGCGAGATGTGGTTGAAACCATCTCGTTGTTGAGCAGAAGATCCAGAATAATTTTTCGGACATGAATGCGCGCCTTCGGCACCACGCTTTTTCCAGCGATGAGGACGAGAGTAAAAGTGGTGGGACACGAGCGATCTCGAGCAGCACCTCACGTTCTGAGATGGTTGAGTTCCTTCACGGCCAAGATGACGAGTTTAATTCTACATGGCAAGTGTACGTCAACTGTGTTGACAAGCTTAACACCAAGTGAAACGAGGATCCCCTCTCCGACGACCAAAAGAAGGCCCTGGTGGCTAGTTATCGACAACAATTGGAGGGACAAATACGCGGCGATGTGCGTTCCCGAGGAAGGGACAGCTCTCTTATTACTCAACCCACGCGAAATGCTAGTATTTTCGAGAGGTCGAAGTGCCAGTACGGTGCTGCCTACAATAACCAGAGATTCACAAAACCAAATGGAGGCTTACATGTGAAGAGCACATATAAAAACAGATAGCGTACAGTGCGAAGCATCGCCAGGGTAAGCATGGTCGACAGGATAACTTGTAAGTGCACACGCAATACTATAATATAGCAATTCGCGAACGATGTGGTCATCACCAGGGAGCCCGATAAATATATTTATTGCCAATTACTGTTTTTGTTTCTCTCAATAATTTATTTACGAAAAATGCTGCAGCAAAATATGTATTTACGAAGTTGGTGGACCACGACCCAAAACTTTTTTTCCCGGACAACAACAACCAACAGTTTGTGGTTGGTTTGGAGCCCCTCGACTTCTCCAAAACGCATATTCTAGCTCATCCTGCAACTTCCCAGGAACACCCCAACAAAATCTACTCTCTTCTTTCACCACCGTGGATGCTTGCATTTAGGCAGCTTCACCCAGGCTAGATACTTTATTTCACTAATAATCTACGTTTGCAATGTCCCCGCTCCAATTATTTATTTGCTGAGTTCTTAGGTTTCCGCGCGCTATGTATTTCTCGATGTCATTTGAAATTGATATAAATTATATTTTCGGGTTCCCTGGTCATCACGTGTATTGGTAATTGTTACTGAAGTGTATGCAGCTTCCTCAAAAAGAAAATAGTACTAAGAAGTAGTTGTTTGAGCACGGCGAGTAATGGGCCATGCTGAATTATGTGGCGCTAAATAGTTCCCCCCGAAGTTTCGTTTTATTGGTAGACCGCAACGCGAGACCGCGGGCCCACTACCGTCAAAATTGGAGGATTCGGAGTCAGTGTATATGGAATGCTTTGGTTGTTTTTTCTGTCTCTTATTCTGCCGGTCTTTGCTGCTACAGTTGTCAGCATGGGCGTAGCCACCGCAGTTTTCTGCTTTAGAACACTCTTAGCGTTCTTTGTAGGTGTAATGAGCGCTGACCTTGGAAACTCGGTCTTATTGGACTTGGGTGCTCGTGTGCTCTTATTCGATTCCAGCAAATCCAACACCAGGCCATAATCCGACACCACGCGCTCGAAATTGCTAGACCACTGGTTCGAGCGCTCGTCTTGTATTTTCGAATGCTTCCGCAGGCGCTTGTGCAGTGCTTTATTTGCCGCTGACTGCGTTCGCTCTTCTCAGATGTTGCAGTTCTCCTGCAAGGATTCCGTTCCTATCCTCCATCTTCGCCAACAATTGTTTTTGGTCTGCTGCAAACGAGAAATCCGAGCATCGTCGTGTTTCGCCGTACTAACTGGCCTTGTTCTTTTGCAGATCTTGGTCAGAGAACGTTACCAGGAAGCCATGACGAGCCTTGAGCGAAGTTACCCAATCTGATGATATCGTCTCCGGTTCGCGGGTCCCAGCTATATCCTCTAGTATTCTATTTGCCGCCTTGATTCTAGCGCATAAGCTTGAGGTCTTCGATGACCTCTTGAACAGGAAGTCTTCGTTACAGCCGTCACAGTAGCTTCGTCAACTGACTTACCGAAGCGTTGCAGTACTTAACCTTGTAGTATCTGCTTAGTCGTCAAATATGGTACCGTCTTGGTGAACTCCTACAGATCACTCGTCTCATTGGTCGTCAACATAGCATTCCGGAAACCAAAATGCGTTGCGATATTATCTTACTTAAGCGATATTTCCGTTTCACTTCACAGTTTATATTGCTGGTTGGAAGGTGGTGCACTACTTTCCAATATAAGCGAAGTGTGAGTTGATCTTCGCACCACGCGAGTCGGTTTATGGGCTATTGAATGCCTAACGATCGAAGCTTCTTGTCTTCGAGAATACATAAGTTCAAAAGTACTTTTACGTCCAGAGGGAAAGCACTCCCATGGCCCCGTATCCGGCAAGTAGAGCAGAGCATTTCTCGATCTGGTATCGAGGGTCCTGCAGCTCTTGGGGAATGATTTCCATGATGGCAACGAACAGGAAGGTGCCGCCAGCAAATGCAGCACATACACCTCCAGCCGGCGTCGCATGGTTAGTATCCACCAGCAATCGACCGAACAAAATGCCCGTGGGCGTCATGAGCGAGAAAACCGCAACAGAGACCAACAGCTGCTTCCGTGAGACCTTATGGTGAATGAACTCGAGCGCAAGCGCGAACGCGGCAAGTGATTTGTGAGCTAAGATAGCGACGAGGATATCCCAGGCCGGACTAGTCGAGGCTCCCATGCCCATGCCTTCCATTACAGAGTGGAATGACAGAGCGATAAACAAAACGAGCGCCAGAATAGGATTGCCCTTGACAATGCCGTGGATGTGCGAGTGTGGCTCCTCCGTTCCGTGTTCCGCGTGGAGGATTAGCTCACTACTCGCTCCTTGGGTGCCGTAGTCTTCAGTCTCCAGTTGGCCGTGCAAGTAGCCGTGGGAGTGACCATTAGTTTTGGCTAGATTGCCCACATCGGTCACACGCGTAACATTGACTGAGAGCAGCTCGTCGCGTTCGTGCCCATTTTGCACCCTTCTGTAGTGCCGTTGCAGCGTGTGTGCGAGCACTTCAATGAGCAGCACCATGAGGAAGCCGCAACCGTAAAAAAAGTTGGCCCATTTGAAGCAGCGCTTGTTGTCACCGTCGTAGCGCGTACGCACGGCTAAGAAAACCTCGGCCGTGTGTTCGCAACCCCACTCGGTGAGCGCCGCGTTGTTCTGCGCGTCCGGGAGGAGGTGCACGCACGAGCTGGCGAGGAAGATGCCGGCCGCCACCATGTTGAGCACGCTACTGGCGCGTTTGCTCACACGCTGGCTGCTCAGCAACGGCGCAATGCCGCCTACGAGCGCCAGCGCCCAGATGAATAGCGCCGCAGCCAGTTTGAATTCGTCTAGAGGATCCATTGCTTATCCAGGTGGTGCAGAGGTTGCAGGAAGTTGTCAGCGCCTTAAGGAAAATCGCAGAGTGGAGAGTTTGCGAGGGCTATTATATTCGTATCGTTCTGCTTTATCCGACGACGAAGTGATGCTGTAGTACACGCTAATGGATAAGGTTTTAAGGGATAAAGCGACTGACTATTGAAAAACTTATTCAATCGAAGTTCATTCAACTGGACGTTGCGACAAAAATAATGCGTTTCGCAAGGCTAATCATCAATATAGACTTATCCGAAGGCGGCCTCTTCGAGTCCAGGCAAACGACTGCTCCACAAATCCAAGACAATCAAAACCTAACGAGGACGCGTAAAATGTCCACAGTACTATGAGGTCAATCCACAGAGATAGTATTAATCCACAGATCTGTGAGCCCAGTAAATAACACACTATAATTTGGGGGGACAATGGCTATGTTATATTGACTTTTCGATGAGCGGGCATTTACTACAAAACGAACTTGCTAGGTAATTAGGATAAATAACGTTACGCCGAAGCGGAAGAATTCACAGAAGCCTGAAGTAGGCCATTTTGATCCAGGACGAGCCTGGACCCGCGACGATTGAAAAGCCGAGGGTTAGACACAGTAAATCGTCCCAAGCGTGAGCGTTGGGGAAATTGTTGGAGGCATTCATTCAGCCGTGAACGTCCTGTAGGCCCGGAGTCTCGGTGCAGTGCCCGAAAATGTGCACTAAAAATGGAGAAACTCGATACACCGCCATTGTCGCTTGCAGCGGAGGTCCGGCTTCGAAAATATGTTTGTTCCGAGTCGTCCAAATTGTATGCAGTGTTATGCTACGCAATAGCGTCCACAACGCGGTAAACTTGTGGTGTAGCGGGATCAGCAAAATCTGCGAGATTGCCAGATCCAACTTACCAACTGCGCCCAGACACCGACTAACGGAGGGGGTCCCCCGATAATCCGTGTTCTGCTGAACTTTCCTCACCTTGTGCACCCGTCGGTAGGGCGGGATCTTGCTCTCTCGGTAACTTCCGAAGAGTTCAAGTGGTGAAGCTTGAGTGTCTTGGCGAGACGTGAAGATGGGGTGGAGCAGCAGTGGAAAAATCTTCGCTCTGCGTCCGTGGTTGGTTCTGGATCCTAAGCGAATATTCGAGCTTAAGTGGATCCAGGGCCTAGATCGTGGACCTGGCCGTAGGGTTGCCTTGCGCTTGCCTTTGCGTTTCCTTTGCGTCGTACTTGCCGCCTCCTGTGACGGGATCTTGAGAGTCGAGATCTTCTTAGGTATACCTGGCCAAGTAGTGAATCCGGTTAACCTGTCGGATCTGCACGTGTAAAGGAAAAGCTCACTAGGCTGTAGGATCTGGCCAATGTATTATCCAGTTATCACTACCAACACTAGATTCGCAATTCCCAACCTTCACGGAGCTCGTACGGCCAATGTAGTTCCGGTTCTTGAGGGCGGGAAGGCACTTGCGTGTTACTGTGCAAATTGAGGACTGTATTGATATTTAAGCCTATACCTGCCTGGATTTCTACCTTCTATGTCTTTCATCTGCTAAATCCCTTACCAGGCTCGGCTGCATGTCCCTTCTTCCCTTGACCCATCATCCCAGCTGTGTTATCTTCAGATCCACCGGATCCATGACGTAATCATCATGGTCACCCTATTATGGGTACACTCATCCGGATCCAGGTCGCTTGGATCCACCTCACTGTATTTGTACACTCGCCGTGGATCCGAGCTCTCCAATCATCCAACATCATCTTGCAACCTATTGTGATCTCCTTGGTCCCACGAAAGTTCGAGATCCACTGCATCCATCATCCCTATACCCTGGATCCAGGTCCCTCAAGGCGGGATCCTTCCTCCATGGATCCGAACTCGGAGATATGGGATCCGGGGTACCTCGCGGTGGATTTTGACTCCTCGTTAGCCGTGGCTACTAGATCCACCTTCGGATGACACCTACCACCATTCCTTCATAGGATCCACACTCGATCCACTGGTACATAGTGTATCTCATATCCACCTAAGTGAATCCAGGTAAGGGTGGATCCGAGATAAGTCTTGGTGGATCTTGTCTTCCCGTACATCGCTCATACCAGATCCATCGTCATTCCATACGGGGTGCCGCTCGTAATGGCTAATCCACCACAACCAACTTGCATCCGTGCCACCAACCCAAATCCTCTCTAATCACTTGAAATTGTCACTGATTTGGGATAGTGACCCCGCGTCAGGCCCATTCTCTTATTTCTGAGAAAGCACTTCACCACAATCGCCTCCTGTACGTTGTCGGCGCTGCACAACAGCGTTCACGGCGTGCATTACCAGCATCCACAACCGCTTTCTCCCCTTCGCGACACATGTCTCCCGCCAAGCGTACCGGCAAATCGTCGGGCAAGGCCCCATCCACCACACCTCCGGTCAGTCCGTCTTCCATGTCGCCCACCGATCTGCGGGTTCTAGCCCAGGCTCTTTCCGATCAGGTGCAAACCCTGACCCCGGAGCTCCAGACAGCCCAAGACCAAGCTGCGTCTCTGCACACTACCCAACTTCAGACCTTGCGAGCCCAAATCCATGACCAGGCCATGGAGATCCAGGGGTGGGAGCACCGTGCGGCCTCTCGGTCGCAGGACCTGCGACTCTTGTTGGCTGATCAGGCGGTCGAGATCCGCGACCTGACCGGACGGCTGGATCGCGCCTCCCGTCAGCGAGATGTCATGCGGGATGACAACGACCATCTCCTTAGGGAGATGGCGCTCGCTGGATCTGAGATTCACCAGCTCCAATCCCGGATCGACGACCTTGAGCGGGATCTGGAGGATTCCCAGACTGCTGGGGCAGCTGCGGATGCGAGCTTGGACCGGCTCCGTGACGAGTTGCGTCTGACCCAGGAGGAGGTGGTGACCAACGACTATGTGGGATCCACCCATGGCGGATCCGCCTTAGGGTCGGCGCGTGGAGGATCTCCCGCGCCAAATCCACCTCCCTCGTCGCCGGATGTAGCTCTGGCTCAGCTTGCTGAGGAGTTGCAGGATACCAAGGAGTCGCTCGAGAAAGCGTCTGCCGGACGAGAGTACGCGCTCGAGGAGTTCGTGCGTATAACTCAATTACGCGACGAGATCCAAGCGAAACTGGCGGACAGCGAGCTCCAGCGGGACAAGGCAGCTACCGAGTGGGCGGCTGCCAAGCGTGCACAAACAGAGCTGGAATCCAAGCTTCGCCGCACGAGTACGTGGATCCTCTTTTAGTCCTTGCTAGTAACCCCATATTCACTCATTAGTGTCCATCCAGGTGACAAATTGAAAGACGCCGATGCGACCGCCGCGAAACTCCGGGATCAACTCGCTGCAGCCCAAACTCAGCAGCAACAGCTGGTCCTGGAGCGCGATCGTGGCTTATCGGAGCGGGATTTGGCTCGTCGACGACTGGCGCTGGTGACAGCTGCCGTGTCGGATCCCCTTCCTCCCTTGTCGGGACCTTCTCGTGCTGCCAGCGTCTCTGCTCCTCTCCCGTCTGTAAGTGGGGCAGATCCATCAGTTGCGAAACGTCCGCGTAGTGCGTCTCCCGCTCCTGGCACCGGATCCCCCCGTCCCCGTAAGCAAGCTCGAGCTTCCCCGAAAGCCAAACCCAAAACGACTCCGGTCTCTAAAACGCTTCGCAAGCGGGATCCACCTCTGCGTCCAAGGCGGTATCCGCATCCGCGTTCAAGACTTC